TGGCCACCCCGGAGGACCCCTCATTGTCCCAGCAGGCTCTCCCAGAGACCTCCAAGGCTTTTGTGGGCAAGATGGATCCTCTTGGAAAATAGAGTTTCATGGAATATTTTTGTACCTGATGTTTACAGATGCTGTTGGGAAGTTATCAATAAAAAGACTCCATTGCTAGAAAGGGTTTGTTAGTCCTGGCAATGATTTCTTTGGGCCAAGAAAGGAGACAGCACTGGGGTTGCAGATAAATAGGAACTGAGGATCAGGAAGACATGTGGCTGTTCTTGGAGGGAGGATTACTGGTGGCAGCCACAATAACCCTGCTTCTGTCCCCAGCTAGGCTATTGCCTGGAACACTGTTCTCACCGACAGATCCATGGTCTGTTCTGAGCCATCCTTGTCGCCCTATACTGGGGCATCTCTCCCTCCCACCTTATCAGTTGTGGTTGGTTCCCATCCATGGTGACCTCGTGCATAGTGCAAGGAACACTGTCCAACCCAATCACCAGACTATTGATCCATAGAGTTTCCAATGGCAGATTAGAGAAAGCCTGTCACCAGGCCTTTCTTCATCTGGAAGCTCTGCTAAAACCTGTTCAGCATTAATGCCTCATATAGGCTTCAACTGACAGATGCCTAGAGGCTTCACATAAGGTGCAATGGCTGGGAACCTGGGAGGCCAGGTTTTCTGCGGGGAGGGCAAAGATTCCACCTTACACAGAACCACCTGACCCCACATCCAGAGCACCCAGGAAATCTGCAATTAAATAAGCCACGTGCTCAGAAATGAGGTCAGAAAGACTGTTAGGTCTTTTCCTGTACATGGGAACATTTAAACCATTCACACAAATCTTCAAAACACCCCGAAGCCCCACAGAGTTGCCCGGGAGCACAGGTCAACTTTCTCTGGGCAGTTCTGCACCGCCCTTGCCTGGTTTCCCTGCACCCATCATTGTCAGTCCAGAGCGGCAGCATTTCCTAGTAATTGACCCTGGAGTGTCACTCCAGCTGACACCCCTCTGGAGGTCTCCAGGGACTCATCTTCTGCAGATGCTTAATGCCTTTTCTTAAGAATAACCTGTACTCCGACATCCATTCACTGAACGCCAGCTATGAGTCTACCTGCTTTACTGAATCCAATCACCCAGAAAGGTGACCTGCGCGGGGTGAGACCACTAGAAAGCCCATCCATCAAGCAACGCCCACACTCGTCCAGGCTTCGCTCGCCCTCAACCAACATGGCTGCGGGGCGGAGGTGGGGCCAAGGGCCGGCTTGCTACGCGGATTGTGACGTCAGCGCGCGGCGTGCTCGGCGTAAGGCCGTTTCCGGTTCCGTCGCCCTCTTCTTTACAGCGAGGCGGCCGAGCGGGTAAGTGCCATCTCCTCTGGGTTCTCTGTG